GAGCTGTTTTACACTCTGTTTCTGTTTGTGTATTTAAAAAGGAAAATAAAAGCATTTAATAGGGAGTAAAAAACAACACAGAGAATGCCTTCCCGGCCCTGTGGGCAGGTTTCTTACCACTTCTGGAGAGCCTGGGCTGGAAAGGCCCAATCCCAACCACTGGGGCCTGGAGCAACCTGAGCTAACAACGTAATGAACGCCCCCACAGGCACTCTTGATCTCCAAGGAGCCGTGCCCACTCGGCTGGGGCTGCTCCTGGATGAAGAGCCCTGAACCCAGAAATCCTTGCCCGGAGATAAAGGGAAATGTGGTGTTTCATCATTACAAATTGTTCTGAAATCCGCTCCGGCTCTGGAGGCCTTGCTGGCACCCTCCCGTGCCAACCAGCCTGGGTGCCAGGGCCCTACAGCTCTGTGTATGGGTGTGTGTGTGTGTGCACACGCATGTGTGGATGTGTATGTGTGTGTGTGGGTGGGAAGGAGTGTCGCTGGCCATGGGAAGGGTGGTTGGCCCCCATTTTCCAGAGAGAACTGAACACATGCCAAGACAGAGGGCAGCCAGGACTCGGGTGTGCCCCTCTTACCCTGTGCATGTTGGGCCTGGGGATTGAGTGGGATGGGTTCTAGTCCTGGTGCCTGTGCTGCTGCGGGACCCAGCATCGTTCATGCTCCCATCCGTGTGCCTCGGGACAAATGCCCCCTGAGGACTTCTGCTTCCGTGTATTAACAGGGTTTGCACGAGGAGCCTGTGTGGTCAGAGCTGACCACCAGGGGCCACGCCACTCCTCGGCCCTGACGCTGTGGCAAATGGCCTGGCTTCTGGGCCCCTACATATTCCCATCTGTAACGTGGGGAGAAGTGGGAGAGATCCACTGCTCGGTGTCTGTGTGCGTGAAATGAAATCACGCCAAACTGGAGAGGCTCAGTGGGTGTCGGGCAGGACTCCTGCGGGGGGAACAACATCAGAGCGATGAGGGAGCAGGCAGACACAGGCACATTGGCAGTGAGGTGGACTTAGGGGGATGTGCACCCCCAAGGTGCTTAATAATGGCAGATGCCTCTCCCGCAGGCCCCCTACTTGGCTCTGCGGAATGGCCAAGGCCCTTCCCACTGCTCCCAGCCTCGGGGTCATGGGCAGTGCCGGCAGGCCACCAGCAAGGGGCGGACGCCCAACGCCCAACCAGTCACCCCTGCAGCACGGCAGCCCCGCTCTCCGCCTCTTTGGAGCACCTGACTCACTTTAATTATGGGCCTGCAGGCACGTCGGGGCGCGCCAGAGACACCCAAGATAGCCCGGAAGCACCGGCTCCGGAGGCGACCGGACATCCCGGCCCTCCGCCAGGTGCACCGTCCCCTCCTGCCAGCACTTCCCCACCCTGGAGATCCCCGCGGCGCCCCCCACTTCCGCGCAGGGCCCTCTGGCCGGCCTCCAGGACAGTGCCTGGGCTGGGGGTCAGATTAGCCTAGGGGCGGCACACCCGGGGCAGGTCTCCCTCCCGCTTGTGGGCCCGAGCCTCTGCTGGGGCCTGGGCGGGGATGCCCGCAGAGCTGGGAACGCTGCTCCCACGCACTCGGCATGGCCGCCCACGCCTCCTCCGATTCCCATGTATATTCAACCTCATTATCAAATATTTGCAATGAACCGTGCGAACCGCCTAATAGCGGCTGGAAGTGAAACTGGATCCCTGGCGGAAGGAGCACGTGACCATGCCTGCCCGGCAAGGATCAGGGACAGCAGCGCTGGGCAGGTGCAGTAGCCTCCGGGCTCACGGTCCCCTCTGGGTGGGGGGGAGAATCCGAAGCCCACCTCCTCACCCGGCCACCCCTTCCCGAGGACCAAAAGGAGGGTGGTGGGAACCTGAATAGATTGGGCAGGGTGTCCGGAGGAACCAGGGCCGGGGAGGGAGCCCATCCGTGGGGGTTCTCATCTAAGTTGGTGACCTCTTGGTCAAGTCGGTTCTCCCGTCTCCACGTCCAGTTCTTGGAAACTGGGTTCCTGGGCCTAATTCTGCTGGTTTCTTCCGGGGATCAGGGGAGGTTGGGGCTCGTGGGGCTGGGGGTCCTTGCCCCACCCCAGCTGGAGCACACACCGTGTCCTAAGACCCCTCCAGAGGCGACTGGTGGTGCGGTTTGCCACCCTCCTGCAGCCACTGTTGTCTGGTCGCTATGACGACTTGTTGAGGTTTTATTTTTAATAGCCGCTGGCGATTAGAGAGGGCCGCCAGAGCAAGGGCCGCAGCCGCTTCTCCTCCCCACCACACCCCGTGGCTCTCTAGTGGGGGGTGGATGGGACGCACCTAGGCCTCGCCCTAGGTGCCCTTGCTTTCCTGCCCTGGAGCTGGCCTGACTGCTGTGGCAGGCTCCCCCTTAACTCCTCTGCTGGCGGCAAACTCCAGCTGGGCACCCCTGGAGGCTGGGGAGAAGGGGCGCACATGTGGCGGGGTGGGGTCTGGAAGGGCCCCATGCCAAAACACAAGTCAGCCTTCCCTCCTTCACTCCTATACCCACTGTGGAGCCCAGTCTTTAACCCTGAAGGTGTGTCCTCAGGTGCCTCTGCCCGAGGGGAGTCCAAGGCTCAACCAGACCTGAGGCAGTCCCGTCGGGTTGCAGAGGCGATGGCTCGGATGGAGTCCAGCCTGAGTCCTGGTGGTGAGTGTTCCGCTGCCTTCCCCAAACCGGCCAGGGTGTCCCCCTCCAAAAGCACAAAAGGTTCCACCTGGAAGGACAAGGACTGGCCCTCACGTGCTTCTAAACGTCTCCAAGTTTTCCCTGGTTCTGCCTTGTCCTCCTTCACCCTCGTCACCCTCAACACTCGGAGATTGGGCTTGGTGGTGGGTGGTCTCGTGAGGCTGCTGCCTGGGGATGGCAGGGGCTCTGGGAGGCTGCAGGGGTGTGAAAGCCTCTGGAAGGATGCCAGTAGACCCCAGCCTTCTGGGAGTGGCAGAAGAGGTCCCCCCTTCCCCTCCCCAGGTATTAGGGGGAAAGCGAGCACCCCCTGAAGCGCCCTCCCTACTTGGCCTTTGAAATGCTGGAGCCCGCTGAGCCAAGGATGAAAGACTAGCCGCGGGGCTACGCCTTTACTGCCTTTGTCTGGCGGGAGGGCGGCCGCGGCAGGGCGCAGGCCTAATCCACAGGATGGGACCGAAGGGGGCGGAGGCCTGGGGCGGGAGGAATTCCCGGCCGCCGTCCAACCTCCCACCCGCCAGGGAGTCTCCGAGCCTTCGGGGCCTCGCCGTCTAGCTTTGGGGTCGCAAGGCCGGTCTTCCCTCCTAGCCCTGCTTCCAGGCTCGGCTGGCCCCTCATGGGACCCGCTGGTCCGATCCCACCTGCCGTAGGCGGACAGGATCTGCCCAGCTCGAGTGCACCTGCCCTTTGGTGGCCGGGGAGCGGTCCAGCCGCCTCAGGCCTCGGCCTCCAGCGCGCTGCTCCCCCGCATCGCGCTCGGTGCGGCGCCTCGGCCGGAGGTGGCGCTCTGTGCGCCCGGCGGATCCCGGCGTGGGAGGCTCCGACTCCGGGGGTTCCTCGCGAGCCGCTCCTTTCTCTTCCTTCCCTTCCGCCCCCTCGAGTTCCCGGCTCAGGCCGCAGCCCAGGCTTCTCCGAGGGAGTGGGGACGCGGGCTCCCAGGGTGGGGACCAGGCACGCTGCAACCCCCTCCTCCGACCTGGGCGCTCTCCCATCTCGGAATGCGGGTGGAGGTTCCTCACTCAGGCGCCCCAGGCATCGGATTCTGGGCGGGGGCGCGTGGCAGCCGCCAGGTGAGTGCCCCAGACGCGCCCCTAGACCCGCCCCACCTCTCACCAGAAACTCACTCCCCCTCCTTTTATGGAGACGGGGAGGCCGGGGCCCTGGATCCTAACGGTGGAAAGAGGCCCGAGCGCCGGGGCGGGGGGCCGGAGGCGGGGGCAGGTTCGCTTTTGCCCTTTTTGGCGTAGCAGCTCTGGGCGCTGCCCTCTGCCGCCGCTGGGGCCCGAGGGAGGCGAGCCGGCGACGGCGGCTCTTCTGCGGCGGCCTCCTCCCCTCCCCGTCCGGTGCCGCAGGATTGCAGCTGCCACTGGAGGGTGGGCAAGCTCAAGGGAGGGGCGCGCGGGGAGCCCGCCGGGCGAGCGGAGCCCCGCGGCTGTGCTCGCAGCCAGGCGCGGGGCTTTGATGGATCTCACTGACTGCGTGAGCGCCACTGTGTGCTCACTGCAGCGGCGGCGGCGGCCGGGCCCTGCCCGGCCCGTGCGGCCCCCGCGCGCTTCCGAGGTGCGGGTCCCGGGCCCGGAATCCGGGGGAGGCGAGGGGGAGGGGGCGGGGGAGGGGCGCGGCGGCGGCGGCGCTATAACCCCCTCCCCGCCGCCGGCCGGCTCCACACGCGCGCCTTGCGGAGCCCGCACAACTCCGGCGAGCCGGGCCTGCCCGCGCCGCCTCCTCCTCCTGCTCCTCTCCCCGGCGGCAGCTCCGTTTCGGCCCTGCGCCCGCCCTGAGGCCGGCGCGGCGAGGCCCCAGGCGGGCGGCGGCTGCCAGGCGGCGCGGCCGCGGGCGCTGCCCGGCTCCGGCCGGCGGAGGGCGGAGCGCGGCGCCAGAGCCGAGGGCACGCCGCGGGAGGGGCACGCAGGCCGCCGGGCCGCGCCGTGCTGGGCCGCGCCGTGCCCGGCCGGGCGGCGGCTGCGAGAGGAGGCCGGGGGCGAGCGCGGGGCCGGCGGTGGGCACGCAGGGCCGCCCGCAGCCCGCAGAGAGAGCGCGAGCCCGCGGCCGGGGCCCGGCCGGGCGTCCAGACAGGTGATGGGTGGTGCGGCGGCGGCAGCTCCAGCCTCGCTCCGGGGTCCCGCTCGGGGCTGACGCCCGCAAATATGCAGAATTACCGGCCGGGTCGCTCCTAAAGCCAGCGCCGGGGAGCGAGCGCGGCGGCGGCCAGCACCGGGAACGCACCAAGGAAGAGGCCCAGCCCCCGCCCTCCGCCCCTTCCGTCCCCACCCCCTACCCGGCGGCCCAGGAGGCTCCCGGCGCGGCGGGCGCGGCGAGCGCGCACTCCCTGCTCCTCCTCCTCCTCGCTGGCGCTGCCTGCCTCTCCGCACTCGCTGCTCGCGCCGGGCGCGCTCCGCCGGCTCCCTGCTCTCCGCGCCACCCTCCTCCGGGCCGCGCTCCCTGAGGGATGGTACTGAATTTCGCCGCCACAGGAGCCCGGCTGGAGCGCCCGCCCCGCGGCCTCGCCTCCCCGCCGAGCCGCCAGCGCCTCGGGACGCGATGAGGACCTGGGCTTGCCTGCTACTCCTCGGCTGCGGATATCTCGCCCATGCCCTGGCCGAGGTGGGTGCCACCCCCGCGCCCCGTCCCCTCTCCGACTCCCCCGGCGCACGCCCCCTGCAACCACCCGCGGGCCGGGGCGCCTCGGGCTCTGGGGCTCTGCAGAACGCGTTTTGATTTCTGCTAGGGTGGTCGGATTTTTTGATTTTTTCCAACTGGGTTTTATTTTCTGCCATGCCGAAGTCTGTCTGGTGAGTTTCCAGCGTGTTGCGTCGCTCTGCCGTGGAGGGACGGAGTGGCGCGGGGTGGACGAGTGGGGAGAAACTTCGGGGGGCGCGGGCTCCTCTCCGGGAAGGGGTGCCCAGGGCGCGGCGGACAATGCAGTATCGGGGTGCAGGGAGAGCGGAAAGGGGTGTGTGTGTGACCTGGCGGAACCAGGGAGGGGAGAAGAGCGGCGTATAAACAGGGCGGTTGCGGCGGAAGCCCCCGGCAGGCAGGGTGGGCGGTGCGTGTCCGCAGCCCCCCGGCCCCTGCTCTTGAGCCCGGCCCGGGCGGCTGGGCCGGCGCAGTCCCGCCCGCCCAGGGCCTGCTTACAGGTGGCTGAGCGAGACGAGCCGGGGCCGGGCTAGGCGCCCGCGTCCTCCCACCGCGGGCGTTCCCCCCGCCCCCACCCCCATGTCGAATCCCGAATCCCCGGGAGCTCTGCTGTGATGAATGACTTTTCTGCAGCCCCCGTCGTGGGAACTTAGTGGCTGAGACCCCTCCCTCCCACACCCACACCCACACAGCGACCCCCGACTCCCTCTAAAAATCTGGAGAGTGGGGAGAGCCCGGGAGGTGGCGGTGGTCTGGGCAGGAACCGGGAGCTGCGAGAGGTGGAGATTTAACCCCCCCGTTGCCGGGCAGCTTCTCCCAGCGGTCGGCTGGATTTGGGGCGCCTTGGGCGGTGCTAGGACCGCAGCCCGGCCAGAGCGGGTGGGGCGCGCGTGTGAACGAGTGAGTGCGCGCGCGCGCGCGCGTTTTTGCGACGGAGACCCTCGACCCCACAGGTTCGGCCCGGGATTTCGGGGTGTGAAATTTAAGCCCCTGGCTAGATTAAAGTGTTAAGGCTGCCGTGACTTTCGTCGCCGATCCGTGACGCATTTCAACTTGATCTTTCTGGATGTCGATTTCACTATTAAAATCAGAAACTCCTCGGCCCCCTCGCTGCCGCTAGACCTGTAACTGACACCCGGGGCTGTGGGGCCGGGGTGCCGGGCTTTTGTTTGCAAATTTAAAGGTTGGGGGGGGCTTTCTGCAAAGGCGAACCTGGATGGGGGCCGGGAATTTGGGGTCGCACCCAGTCCCCTCCCCCCGCCCCCTCCCCCCGCCCCCTCCCCGCGTCTGACTTCAGGGCCCCGGGCAGGGGTCGGACGGCCGGCGAGCTGGGAGGGCCTGGGACTTGGGGCCGGGTCACCGCGGCTGGGGGACCCGGCGCTCTCCGCTCTCGGGGGCGCGGGCGCGAGCCGGCCGGGCGGCGGGCGCTGACCGTGTGGCTCTGCTTGCAGGACGCCGAGATCCCCCGCGAGGTGATTGAGAGGCTGGCGTACAGTCAGATCCACAGCATCCGGGACCTCCAGCGACTCCTGGAGATAGACTCCGTAGGTAAATCGCGCCCCTTCCCTCGGCGCGCGGGGCGGGTGTGCGGGGTGTGCGCCCCGCGCCGCCTCCAGCGCTCGGGCCGGCCGGGCGCCGCGCAGGAGCGCACCGAAAGGTCAGAATCCAATCCCGGGCCATAAAAGCCCAGGCGGATGAGTCAGGAGTTTCTCTTCCAGTCCCCACTTTCTCTCCCGGCGGCGGCCGCGGGCTCCTCGCTCGCCCGGGGATTGTTTTTGCATTTAAGGAAAATGCCGCGCGTGTCACACAAAGTTCAGCAGCGCAGAGGGCGCCGGCGCCTGGGCCAGGTGTGCGGGGCTCGGGCCTGCCCTGTGGGGCCGGGAGGAGCGGCTGAGCGGGCCGGGGCTTGGGCGCAGAGCCCTGGACGCACGCCCCGCGGGCAGGCACGCGCGGGAGGAGCTGCCCCTGACCGGGGCGGCTTTGTCATTGCCGAGAGCTGGTGGCCCGCTCCGCCGCAGCTCGGCCTTTGTGGTTGCAGGAGTCCCGTGCCTTTCTCTTTTTCACAGGCCCATAAAGAGGCGCATCTTGGACACATCTGGTGTCTGGGGACTATTTTGGGGCTCACCGTCAGGCCCTGGAGTCTAGCCACTTTAGAAGAGAGTTTATTTGTAAAGGCATAGTTTTGAACCTCATTGGTGTCAGTGAGAGAGTTGGAGGGGCTGGATGGACAGGGAAAGGTCACCAGGGACCCAGGCTGTTGCTGGTGGGGTGGGGGCCGGTGGGGTGGGCGGGGAGGGTGCCTTTTCCTAGAGGGCAGAGATTCTGGCCCACATCTTTGTGGTGTCCTGCTCCACGTTAGTACTTGGTGGGGCAACACCTGTGTGAGGGTTAGTTACAGAAACACGTCTTATTAATGTCTGTTAAAAAGAGGCCCCAAATGGGCTTGTCAGATGGAAGGCTGAAGGTAGTAGAGGTCGGTTGGAACAATTCTCAGTGAAGATTTCGCTCTCACTGCAGACTACCCTCAAAGAGGGGGGCGTGGGGGGAATTAAGTAAAATCACATGGTCTAGTCATTTGGAAATTTGTACCTAATTATGGTGGTGGAGAGGCCTGAACTATTTTCATTTCATGCCAAGACCATTTGCTAGCAAGGCCGATGGTTTCTGTAGTTTCGTGACCCAGGAAATCCTTTGGCTGATTCTTATCAGGAAGGGGGTAGAATTTCACTTGGAGATCAGAGTTGGGCCAGGGGGGATTTTGGTCTGGTTCCTTGATGTGTAACCCTGGGGAGAAGGATTTGGCTTTGGTTAGCTGAGGAAAACACTCGCCTACATTCTGCTGGTCCCTGGCGGATTTGTGAAAGTGGGGAGGTTGACTCCCCAAGAAGATTCAGTCCTTTTTTTCTTTTTTGGCTTGCTGGAGCAAGGCCGGTGCAGGGCTGGGGCCTCTCTGTGGGATGGCTTTGGGATGCCACCGGGAAATGGGCCATTCACTTTCTGTTGGGGCCATTCTTATTCTGGTCTCTGCCGTCCCTGCCCCCCTCCATTAACACTTTTTGCATTGCAGCTTGGTGGGTTATGCTGATGGCATTCCTGACCTGGGGGCCTTTGGGCCCAGAGCCTCTTTGGGAGGGTCCAAACTGAAAAGGCAGGACGCCTCAGCCAGTTCCCTGGCTGGTTTCAAATTGCCCCCTTATAAAAATCCCTGGGTGTTCCCCTTCTGCTCTCCACCCCCACCCCTGCCTTCCACCTTCTGTCACCTCGTTTGGGGTCTGACTGACTAGGATTCTGGGGTAGGACTCCTCGTGCCTAGGAAACTGGGGTGCGAACAGAGGGGGTTTTCTAGGATCACCTTTACTCCCTGGGTTTCACCCTAGGAGACCCTTTGTGACACAGATCCCAATGTGGGTCTCCGTCCTGGTCTGGCACCCTCCGGCAGACCGGAAAGTTGCAAGCCAGGGCAGGGCATGGCCCAGTTTCTGGCTGGAGCCCGGAGCTGCCGTCCGGTGCTCCCAGAGCTTGAGTTGCTCTCTTTCCCCCAACACCCGTTCCCGCCCAAAGCTGGAGCAGATCTTGCTGCTGTGGGGGTCAGTTACTTGAGGACTAAGGCGCTCTCCAGGCTCTGGACGCCCCCTACCACGAGGTCCAGCTGGAGGTTTCTGTGGGATCCCTGAGAAAGGAGCTGGGGTGTGGAGAAACCCATTTGGTAGTCCAAGGGTGAACCAGCCCCTTCAGGTTGGTGTTTTTTTGGGTGTAGAGCTAACCAGGCCTGGGAAGCAGACTTTTTCTCCCAGGTCCTCTCCTCCCTGGCGGGGCCTTGTGATGGACTCTGGATGGGACAGCAGGCGGCCGCATCCTCATTTTACAGATGAAGCCGGAGTCGATGGGATTCTTCTCCCAGGAGCAGTGAGAACAGCATGGAGCTGGAGAGTTCCCAGAATTCACGTGGAGTTCGGGGGCAGCTGACTTTGCACACAGGGCTTTTGGGCGGAGAGACGGCGTGTGATCTCTGAATGTCCAGTGGCTGGAGTTTGGGACTTGTGTGTTGAGTGTGTTGAGAAATCAGCCATTGAGCAGCGAGATGGCCTGGGAGCTTTGTTCTCTGAGTAGCCTGGCCTGGTGCCATGCGGTGGGGTCCCTGAGGGATGGACACATGAATGTCCCCATCTTGGGCCATTAGTGCTCCCCCCAGGACTGAAGGCAGGATGACTGGTCCCCATATTGAGCTGTCATTTGGACATTTGCGTGCAAGACAAAAGGGAAACCCCCTTGATTAACTGTCCTGAGCCTTGTTCCGGTAGTGTCTTCTCTGCTAAGTCACTGCTGGGTCATTTCTCAAGTGGTGTCAGGCCGAAGGCCACTCCCCCATTAGTGTGGATGGCGACCACCCATCTTGATTGGGGGACAGGGGAGGGCTCTTGTCTTGCAAGCCGTCCGCCGGCTGGTTTGGGTTTCAGGGCTGTGGTCTCTTCTGTCTGTCTAGACGAGTGGCTGGAATGGGGTTCCCGGCCCCCTCCTGCGGTCCCATCCTTGCTCCTCAGACGCATCAGGATCGAGTCACCCGTGGAGCCGGGACACCTGGCTTTCAGGCGGCTAGGAAGATGGTGGCCGATGGGACGTTTTCTCCCGGAGGCCAAGGATGGGCCGGTTGCTCTTTGGTTTGAGGATGGCAAGATGGCCACCGCCAGGACGTGACTCATAAATGTCACTTTTTGGTGAAAAAATGCTTCTTGTAACAGTTGGTTGATGGGAAATTCTTACTGCATGAATAGTTGTGTTCTGATCTTATTTTGGGTCTCAGAAAAATTAGTGGCAGTGGAACATTGAGTCATTTGAAGTGAGAACTTGGGTTCTTCCCAGACTAGTTTTCTGAAAAGACGCATCTTTTGCTGTTTGCACCTTTTGCCTGGTTTTCAGTTTGCATTTTAAGGGAGTGGCGGTTTTGAATTTGCTGGTTTGTGGACAGTCGCTGAGGCCCCGGTGGGCCGGGCACCCAGTGGGGGGCCTCTGGCCCGGACTGCTGGCCTGGAAGCCACTTGCCTTCTCTGGGAAGGGACAGCAGGACACAGGGGAGGTCTGCGCAGCCACCGGAGCCCTTCGCTGTGGGGACTTGCTTCTCAGGAACTGGTGCCCCTTCTGATCTACTGGGGAGCCAGGGATGGAGGGGGAAGTAGAAGGAGAGCCCCCAGCTGGGTCTGGGGCCAAGGCAGGGAGGCCTGGGGTGACCCACCTCATCCGGGTGGGTAGGTCCTGGTGGCAGGTGGTGGGACCTTGTGTCTCTTCTAGGAATCTGAGAGACCTGGGACTCCTCTAGGCTGCCCAAGAGGGGGCTCTAGGGCGGGCGAAGGTGATATACCAGACACTGCTGGCAGGCCTGGGGATTGGGGGCCAGTTCTGACTTTGACCCTGGGACCGTGGGTCTGCTTCTGGCTGCCTGGCCCCCTCTGCCAGGCACCAGGATTCCTGGCCCTTTATTCCTCCACCTGTATTTCCTCTAGCCTCTCGAGTGGACTAACTCCAGGAACAAGCAGAGTCTGGCTGTCAGCCCAATTGGGCCTCGAAGGTTAGGGTGCTCCATGGTTTAGTAAGAAGAGAGAGAGAGAGAGAGGGAAATGCACACACATCAGGGAAGCCACGGCAGCCACATCTGCTGCCCCTTCTGGGCCGTCCCCGTGGGCCTGTCTGGAAGCAGCGGGCCTGGTAGTTCTGGGTCTTAACAACGAGAACGGCCGGCCCTCACCTGGGGAGATCACCTGCCCCTTCCGCACGGGTCGCATGGGTCCGCCACAGAGCACAGCAGGGGTGCCACGTTTGGGGGCCCTCCGTGTAGGCTTCCCAGAGGCTGGCAGGAGATTTTTGGCACGTGGGAGTGGCGGCTCTCCCAGGGGACCCCGTCTGTCTCCAGGAAGCAGGTAGGCAGCGCCGCTGGACAGGCCCCCCGGGGCACACCTGGATGTGGGCTGGCTGGTCACCGTTTCCTCTTTCTGCCTACAGGGGCCGAGGATGCTCTGGAAACGAGTGTGAGAGCCCATGCAGGCCGGGCCCCCAAGCATGCACCTGAGCAGCGGCCCGTGCCCATCCGGAGGAAAAGAAGCATTGGTGAGCCCTGGGCCTGCCAGGGCGAGGGGAGGGTGCATGGGGGATCTAGGGGGCTCTCCCCACCGGGCCTTCAGTGAAGCAAAACAAAGGCCTAGCCTGCATAGGGGCCCCAGCGCCTTCAGCCCTGGCCTCCTGCCGTCTCTCCGGAGGCCTCCCTCCTGCCCCAGCCCGTCTGCTGCCTGCTGCAGCCTGGCCTGGGCCAGGAGTTTCCAGGAGAGGGGAGCCGTCATAAATTCCTTAAGTGCCCGGTCTTGTCGGGGCCTGTTCTGGAGGAGGACTTGCTGCAAACGTGGTCCCTTTTCCTTTCCAGTCTGGAGTGCGTGGCCTGGCAGGCGGCTGCGGCACAGGCCACCAGCAGATGCCCCTGCCCCTGACCCCCACTCCACTTGCTGGGCACGGTTTTGGGGGGGGTGTTTGCGTCCTGTCCCCTAGCAGAGCACCCTGTGTCTTCCTGGCCTCTCGAGGCTGTGGGGGTTTGTGGGTGGCTCAGTTCTGAGACAGATCTTGGCCTGCACTTTGCTGCCCTGGGAGCGAGCGGGGTCAGGGAGTGTGACTCCCCCTGCCCTGAGTCCCATGCCACCCGGGGGTCCCTCCTCCAGTCCTAACTGCGTGGGGTGCGTCCCCCACACTGCTGTTCCCTGCCTCGGAGCTTAGATTCCTCCTGGGATGTAGACTTAGTAGCTTCTGGCCTGGGGTGCAGCATGTGGGCGAGGGCTCCTCCTGAAGGCAGGTGGGCCCACCCAGATGACGTTTGTTGTGGTAGGTTTCCTGTCCTCCAGACCCGTGTCACAGGTGAGGGCGCTCCAGCAGGCCTGTCCTGTTCCAGATGGGGAGCCCCGGGCCGTCTCCCTGGCTCCACTCTCAGCCCCACCCAGCCAGGGCCCCCAGGCCCCTCGCAGCCGGTGGGCACTGGGCTGCTTGCCCTGAGCAGAGCCCTTTCCCCACACTGGGGTGGCCAGATTTCCAGGGCCCAGCCTTCCGTGTTGGCAGGCCTGCTGTTGGAGACCAGCGCTCCCCCCTCTCCAGGTGCTTCCAGGCCACTGGGGAGGAGGATGCAAGGCCCGCCCAGTCCCTGGGGCTCTCAGGAGTCTTCTGGCCCTGGTGGGGGGGGACGGGCAAAGGAGAGGCGGGCACCTGTCCCTGGTGTTGGGGTGGAGGCAGGCCCCTGTTGTCCTTCGATTGCATTTCAGGCTCTTCCACTTGTCTGCAGGGGACGGGGCCCTGTCCTGCCTGGTGCTGGCCATGGGGGTTGTGCCAGGCCCTCTGTGGGTTCTGGGGTCCTGCCTGCCTGCCCGGGCTCCCCAGCCCTGTATTACTCAAGGCCCAGTGGCCCTGGGGGCTGGTGTGGATTCATAGGGCAGCCTGTGGGGAGGAAGGTGCACGTGCTGGGGTCCCCAGGTGGACGTCTCATTGGGCAGTGGTGCCCTGGCCTCTGCTGCGTTTGGGGCTTCGGGTCAGACAGATGGGCCTGTGCCGAGGAGCACAGAGCGGAATGTAGAGCCTGTCCCTCCTCTCTTGGTGACCTTTAGTGAGCAGGTCTGTGGCTCGTGGGCTGGGGAGGTGGACCCGAGTCCCGTGTCCTGTGTTCCCTGCCCACCTTGGGTGTCTGTCCTGCCTTCCTGGGCCTGGCCTGGGGGCTGTGGCAGCTGCTGGGGCTGGGCCCTGATTGGTCCAGTGGCTGTGGGGCCCATTGCCCTCTCGCTCTTGGGGTCCCATCCTCGGCTTCCCTGTTTCTCCCCATTCTCCACTAGCCCTGGGAGCTCCCTAACCATCTGTGCAGAGTCCTCACCCACCCCACCCCCCACCCACCCCACCAGCTTCGGGTCTCTCCCTACCCCCTGCAGGCCGCATCAGGCTTTCTTGTTCACGGGGCCCCCTCAGCCAGCAGTGCCCTTCCCTTGGAGCCTCCCTGCCTGGCCCTCACTGCTGCTGCTCCTTGGGCCAGCCCGAGTGCACCCTGTTGGGGGCCCAGTGTGTGGGCCCTAGGGTGGCCTGATGTACCGCAGGGATGCGGCCACGTGGGGAAACGCCCCCTCAGGCCTTCAGGTGGGGGGGATGCTGGGCTCCTGTGGGCCACGGGGCATGGCCCGGCCTTCACCGTGGCTCTTGCTCTGCAGAGGAAGCCATCCCCGCGGTCTGCAAGACCAGGACCGTCATTTACGAGATACCTCGGAGCCAGGTCGACCCCACGTCCGCCAACTTCCTGATCTGGCCGCCGTGTGTGGAGGTGAAGCGCTGTGCGGGCTGCTGCAACACCAGCAGCGTCAAGTGTCAGCCCTCCCGCGTCCATCACCGCAGCGTCAAGGTGAGCCGGCCCGCCCCGGGGTGCCTGCCAGGCCCGGGCGCACAGCAGGGTGCTGGAAGAGCCGGGACCCGGGGCTGGGCCGGCTTCAGGGGAGGGGGGGGTAGGCGTGTGGTTCCCTTCCCCCTGTCTCCCCATGAGGCGACATCGCAGACCGACCTCAGGACACGGGCCATGGCGCGTGGCAAGAGGGGCGTGGGGTCCTCTTAGCCTTTCCCCAGAAGCACACGGGAAGCAGGCCTGCCACATTGAGCCTCCGTCCCTTGTCTGTAGGTTAGGGAGGGCACCCCGGTCTGCTGTGGGGCGGGTGTCCAAGTGGACTCCTGCTAAGCGCCCTCCTGTGGGTGCTTCAGTCCTGGGGGCTGGGCCTGCAAAGCCAGCCCCTCCCCTCATTCTGGGAAGCTGTGCTCTGCTTGGAGACCCTCAGGATGGGTGCTGGGTTGGCTGTCTTTGCCGTAGTCCCTGGGTGCTGGCACACAGCTGGGCGCTTGCCCCAGAGCCCTGTCCGGGGCAGGGTGTTGGTCCTGGAGACTTCCAGGTCACGTTCAGATTACCTGTGCGGGGCCTCCTTGTTCTTCCTGCCTCAGTCCTAGCGGGAAATCAGCCTCTTCAGGTCGCCCTGGGCTGCTATACTGGGGTCTTGGCCAGACAGTGGTGTTTTGGACCAGTGGCTGGAGGGGTTCCTGGGGCATGGGTCTGTTCCTCTCTGGCCTGACTTGCCCCATCTGTGAAATGGGTCTGAATCATGGTGATGTGCTATCTCAGGCTGTGTGGGACGTGGGTCCCAGGGCAGCTGGGCCCCTGTTTGGAGGGGAGCTGTTCTGCTTCCGAAAGGATAGCACCAGAGTGTCTTGGTCTGATGTGTGGCTAGGCTGCAGAGTCCTGGGTGCTCCCAGTCTAGGGGAGGGGGCTGCCATCCCTGGAAGCTGGCTCTGGGAAGGCTGTGGTCCCACCAAACTTGGGTTGTGGACTTGGGCAGCGGGACACCTACCAAGTGGCAATGGCCTGCCCACTCAGCTAAGCCTCCAGCGGCCAGTGCATCCGTGTTCCCCAGATTCTGGGGGTGCGTCAGAAGCCATTCCTCAACTGGAGATTCAGAGCCCGTGCGCCCGCTGCCAGTCCGGGGCCCCTGGATGTGGGCCCCTGGCACCAGAGTGAAGTGCAGGGGAGACTTTCTTACTTACAGACCACGGAGCTGGCTGGGACACTTGTTTGTCACGTGAGAAGGCACGTCAGGCCCATAACTGGGGCTCCACCTGACCTCCAGGGACTTGGTCCTTGAGCACCTGGGGCATTGAGTAAGCAAATTCCACGGCTTGCCACGCTGTGCTCTCCACGGTGGAGGCTCCCAGCGGCCTGGTGCAGTTGCCTGGGTGCTGGCTCCGGTCTTGGCAGGGGCCCAGCTCTGCACCCTTTGTTAAAGGGGGAAACAGAGGCTCAAGGGGATGGGGCTGTGCGTTCTGCACCAAGACTTGTCCCCTGCTGCCCTTGGGTCTCCATGTCCTTGCTTACAGGATGTTGTGAGGGGGTCTCGTGAGCCCTGAGAACCCAGACACCTGAGATCTTTTGTTGCTGGGAGTGGGGTTGCTGGAGCTCCACATGACAGTCCCACACGCTGGTGCAGGGCGTAGGGTTGCCCTTTGGGCGTTCAGCTGGTCTCTCGAAGACACAGTGGTGCCGGAATGAAGTGGGGCTCCCTGCCCTGTGGGCTCCTGCCTCCCCTGGGTAAGGACTGGGGTGTGTCTGGTCCCGGTGTGGGCTGTGATCCCCTCCTCCCAGCCCACCCTGAGTGGGCGGGCGTGTGGGCATCAGGGGCTGCTTCCTGGGAGGGGGCCCCGTCGGCCTTGGGCATAGGCCCAAAGGACTCAGTAGGTGGTGGTGCTCAGCCAGGGCTCCCCGCATAGGCCTTTGTCTGCTTGGACAGGGTCGCGGTCTGCCCAAGGGGACGGACGGGCTGAGTCCTGCAGCTGGAGCCTGGTGGCCTGCTTCCATGTCTGGCCCTGCCCTTCTCGGACCCCTTCCTCTTTCTCCCTCAGGGAAGGCAGCTCCTTCTCCCTGCCCACCCATCAGAGGGTTGGCAGGAAAACATCCGGCCCCAGACACTGGGGTTTTTGGCCGAGAAGGGACAAAAGGTCAGTGAAAACAGGAGGTCCATTGTGGAGGGTGGCCTGGTCCCCTCAGCTGCCCAGGAAGCTGTGGCCACTGCATCGGGGTGAGGCGGAGCAGGCTGGTGGGCCTGGTGGAGTCCTACACCGAGTGTCTGTGAGGGGTGCTGGGGCCAGTGGGGGCCTGTGTGGCTGGGCAGGTGGGAGGTCTTGCCCCGAGCTGACACGTGCCTGGTTTTTTGGTTTACGGCTTTTCGATCACAATTAGAGGCACTTACTGGAGAAGGTAAGGGGAGGCTGAGAGCAGCCCCAACACGAGGCCCAGATGGTGACTTGTCTGGTATGCTCCGCTGAAGGCCCCCAGGCCCTGACTCTCAGGACTTACTAGGGTGGATGGCTGCCTCTGCTCCGTGACCACCAGGGACAGTGGCCTGAGGCTTCTAGGCAGGGCCTCTAGCCCTCTGATGGTCTCGGGTGTGGGCCCTTTGCTCTCTGGGGCTGGGCCCTCATTTGTCTCCTGGGACCTGCCTTCAAGGTGGTCCCCTTGGGGTTGCAGGGACAGCTGTCGTCAGATCTTGGGGAGGGGTGGACACGTTGTCCGGACTGGGGCCACACCTGTGTGTCCCTCTGTCAGCTCGCCATGCTCAGCATTTAGGGTCTGCCTTTAGGGGGGCCAAGCGTGCTCCCTGACTGGGGTCCCGTATGAACCAGCTCTTCCTCTCCCCAGGGAATTCTGCCCCTAGACCCTGTAGGCAGCTGACCCTGTCCCCTAGATCCCAGGCTCGAGGGCTAGGAGAAGGGGTGGTGTAGACAGCGGGGGCCAAGACTCTGGTCAGGTCGCACCAGCTGGGACTGTGGGGCAGACCTCCAGCCTCTCACGGCATGGCATTGGAAGTTGGGGGCTCCCGTTTTCTTCAGGGCATCCTGTGGGTTTACACCCAAGTCTGTTAACTTGGTTAGGCCCCCAGGTCTCCAGAAGCCGGGACCCAGCCCCCGGACTACACGTGGGGCAGCCTGCTGTGGCTCTGTGTCACCCGACCTCAGGCTTCTGGAAGCTGGGTCTGGGTGTGGGCCTCTGAACCCTGATGGAGTGTGTGATCCGGCTCAGGGACCTTGGGGGAAATCAGAGACTCCAGCAGTGTGGATCTCCTGTACGAGCTGCCTCAGTGTTCCCATCTGGAAAACAGACTGTAATCGGGTCCTTACAGGGTAGCTGTGAGCAGTGCAGTGAGCGACACAGGGGTTCAGTAAATGCTGGTGTTTGTCGTGGACAGTGCTGTGCCCTTGACTCTGGGGTGGTCAGGCCATAACCTGGGGAGGGGTTCCCCAGCAGGGGCATTGCTCTCCCTGGCCCAGCTTGGGACACCGTGAGTAGCAGGAGCTCAGGGCTTCTGTGCTCGGTGTCCCTTGTCTGGGAGGAGTACTGGCATCACTGGATGGCATGCTCTGGTGGCTTTGCCCTGTGAGTGTACAGGTGGGGTGGTTCCTGCCAGGTGGCCTCACCACAGGAAGTGGATTGTCCTCTCTATAGGGCGCAGCTCAGACGCCTGGGACACGGACAGCGGGAGAAGAGAGGGAGGGGCATGGGGATCCTGTTTGGGCTGTAGGATGGGTCTGGGGGCTGAGGTGACAGGAACGAGGGTCCCAGAGACACAAACATCTTGTTCTGGGGACTTGGCTGGTGTAGAGGCTGCTTGGAGAAGTTAATATTCACAGTGTGTTCTTGGGGGAAAAATGCAGCTACTTCCTGGCCAGACGGAGGTGGTGGAAAGGCTTGGAATCCTCACATACCCAGAAGCAGGTGCAATCATAGATCGTTGTTTGTTTTTCTTTGATAAAAACAGCCCGTCTGCAGAGAAAGTGGGTTCCCAGACTGGAGTGGCCGGTGTTGGGAGTGCTTTGCCAAGGGGACGGTGGGGGGGGGGCGGTTCTGGAACGCCTGCTTTCCCTGCCATGGCTGGTCTGTGGAAAACAAGCCTGCCGCCCGCACCCAGAGCCGGGGTCCAAGTACCCGCTCCCCTAGAGTAAGTAGGTGAGGTACTCGCCTAGCAGAGGTCGTGCAGTGCAGAGGGCCAGGCCCCTGCCTGCCCCAGCCTCCCTGTGTCCCCCAACACAGTCCAGTGTGCATGGGGCGCTTGAGTGCTCCGAGCTGGGGGCCGCGGCCTCCGACCTACCGGCTGAGAGGCCCTGGGGCTGGGTGGGGGCGGGAGGGGGCTGAGGCCAACCCCAAGTTCTGATGCCCAGAGGGTTGGCACGCTGGCCGGGTTCAGGCAGGGGTCCTCTGCCCTCTCAGGAGGCCCACTGAGGTGCACCCCACCCAATGCCCTAGAGGGGAGGTTCACTCTGGGCCCCGGGGGCTGGTTTTGCTAAGCTCAATGTGCTGAGACAGGGTTTGCTTGTTCCGAACGGAAGGTGGCCCAGTGGCAAGTTTTAGGTGCTTGTATACATGTGAAGCCCTGGGGCACAATCCTTGTTCCCATTTTATAGACAGGAAAGTGGAGGCTCTCTGCGCCCATGTCCTGAGGATCTCTCTCTCTCTCCTCTCTCTCTCTCTCTCTCTCTGTGGTCCTGGTCTCCTGGAGCAGTAGGTGCCATGAGGAGCTGACCTGGCCCCGAAGCTGGGGCTGCTCATGCCCGTGGTCCTTTCCTCTACCTCTTCCCTCCTTAGGAAACCTGCCAGGCCTATCCCCAAACCTGGCCTGGCTGCCACTCCACCTCTGAGCTCACACCTGGCTGTCTGCATTCACACCTGAGGCCACACACCACTTCCCGTGGCTGGCGGGCACCCGGCACCCTTTGCATAGCAGGTTAACCATTAATGTGGCCCAGTGGCTACGGGTGGATCTGGACAAGCCCTGAGTCCTGCTCACCTGTGGGGGGGGGCCCATCCTTCTTGCCTGGGGTCCTCTGGCTTCTGGGCTCCAGGCCTCTGTGTTAGAACTCCCCCTCCCATCACCTCCCCTCCCAGCTGCCCCAGGCTGGGGGCTTCTGCTCTCCACCAGGGAGCCCCTCACCCCTGCCAACTCCCTGATGCCTCCACATGCTTGGGGTATAACCTACAGGGACCCCTTTCTGCTCCCTTTCTGCCTCAGTTTCCCCAGGCAAATGGGTGGAATGGCTATTCCTGGAGGCCAATCCCAGGACTGCAGCCCGGTGTCAGCACAGATGGGAGCATGCACTGTGTGCCCAGATCTTCGGGGTCCAGGGCAGTGGGGACATGGTGGTCCCACCCCCGCTGGGGACTGAGCTCAGACTGGGTGCTTGGGAGGGGAGCCCCCTGGAGAAAGGCTTGCTTGTCTAGTGTTCTGTATCTCCTCTGTGAGCTGGGATGCAGTGAGCCCACCTCGACCGCGCTCACTGTGAGTGCGGAGTGTGCTCGGATGCCGTGTGCACATAAACGTGTGAGCATGGAGCTTGTTCTTGGGACAGGACATGTGTGTGCACATGCGTGTAATTGTGGAGGGTGGACTGGCATTCCCACGACAGAGTGAGCCAGTTTCCCAGGCCTGAGCTGGGATCTGTAGGGACTCGATTTCTCGGCTGCCTGGGCTTGTGCCCATGGGCCGGACACAGCCATGTGCTCCTGGTGGCTCCCCGGGAGAGGTGCAGAGAGAGGCAGGTCCGCTGAGTCGTGCCCCCTGATGATTTGGGCCAACAGAGGTTTGAGCGGACAGGGGAGGCCCAGCTGCAGGGGTCAGTGGCTTGGGGCTAGGCCTGATATGGCCTGGGACGACGGCCTGGGGCCCCTGCCCATTCTTCTGACAAGGCTGGCATTCCCTTGGCCAAGGTGAGCTGGGGGAGCCACGGGAAGGCCTCCAGGTGGCTGCAGGGGGCCTGGCACCTGTGGGATCCCCCTCTGCGGTCCGTCAGGTTCCAGTGAACGTGCCCCAAACTATAAATACCCACAATTACCTCTCTCCCTGGTGCTCCTGCCTTTATGCGGGGAGGAGGTGAGAGGTTGGAGGTCAGAGGTCGGCCTGGGCGGGGTTGAGCACGTAAGCACGTCGGGGCTCCCGGTGTACCGCGTGTGGGGCGTGGCCGCGGCGGTCATGGCGGGGCTGTTGTCTCGTGCAGGTGGCCAAGGTGGAGTACGTCAGGAAGAAGCCAAAGTTAAAGGAAGTGCAGGTGCGGCTGGAGGAGCATCTGGAATGCACGTGCACCGCCGGAGGGCCGAACCCCGACCACCGGGAGGAGGAGACGGGTAAGTCCCGCCTTGGCGCGGCCCCTCCCACGTCCCTTCGGCCTCGGCCTCTGCTCACTTGGCGCAGTCCGCGGGGCGTCCGCCAGCCCGGCAGCGTGCTGGGGGACGCTGGACGTCCCCGCCCCGGTTGGGGTGCCCGGGAGCCGCGCGGCTGGGGCGGCGCCGGGACACCTCCCGTCCCCCATCCCAGGCGGACTCTGCCCGGAGGCAGCGTGGCATTCTGACCCGCGGCGTCGGGCCCGATCCAGGGCACCAGGAAGTGTCTCTGTGCCAAAGCTAATCGCGTTTTCTTGCAGAAAGACAAACACCTCAGCTATTTATTGCCTCAGGTCCGCAGCCCTAACCCTTAGGCCCGCTCACCCTCCCTGCCCTTCTGTTAACAGGAAGGCGTAGGGAGTCAGGTAAAAAACGGAAAAGAAAAAGGTTAAAACCCACCTAACGCAGCCAACCAGGTAGGCGCTGTGTGCGGCTGCGCCGTGGTTCTGCGGGGGGGAGGTGCCCAGCTGATCACAGGCGAATCCCTCCCGCGGCAGCCAGCTCGCGGCTCTGATTGATCGGCCCTGATCGGCCTGCAAGCTTCCGGTGTCTGGCTGGGCTGCGGGTCTGCTCGCTCGCGTGTCCTGCTGCTCCCGAGTGCCCGCTCTGGCTTGGGTCTCTTGCGTTAATGGGGGAGGCCCTGGCGTCACGTGAGTGGAGTGAGTCGGGTTCCTGAATGGCAGTGGGGTAGCTCTGATGTCTATTAGCCGGGATCACCTTGGGCAGGTTACCCGTCCCATTTGACAGATGGAAGACTGAGGCTTATAGGGAAGATAGGTGAGGGAATTGAAGACTGCGGGGGTCCTGTCTGGAAATATTTCATAGACATGTAGGGCTGTTGACTGCTGTGTTGGAAACTCTATTTGGCTGCTGGTAATACCAAAACCAACAAGGGCTGGGGTGAGGCAGACATTTAGGAGCAGGTGTGGCGTCTGGGGGCTGTCTATCCTCAGAGTTGCTTCATGGCTCAGTATGGCTGCTGAAGCTCCAGAAATCACATCTACACTTCAGGCTGGAAGAGTAAAGTTGGGAGAGGGACAGAAGAACCCTCTTAGAGAAGTCCCACTCAGTGACTTCTGCTGTGATACCCTGGCTGTCCTTCAGCTGCAAGAGGACCTGGGCAGCATAGTCTTGTAGAGAGGCATACTGCTTCCCAGAAGAAAATGGGATTTGGGTAACCACAGTCATGATGAAGGTAGTTTCCAGCCTTCTTGCTCCTTGTTGTTGGCTTGTGTGTTCTGGAGAGCCTGGTCCTTGCCTCTGGCCACATGTGAGCCCACGGCATCCCAAACAGGTGGTTGTGGGAGAGATTCTCAGAGATGGTGTCTCAGAGCCCAGGTGCTGGTTGAGTGACTGCAGAAGGCTGCCAGGTCAACCGCGTTGAGGTTGGTGGGTCTGGTCCATTCCTCTGGGGAGGAAAGGATCCACTAGGGTGGGTTCCTGAAGCGGCCTCAACACAATTTTTTGCCTGTGATTTTTGCTTTCCCTGAGGGTGTGGCTCTGGGGGTGGTTTTGTGCCTGCATGTGCACCCAGTCTGCACACCATCAATTGGGCTCTGGCCTCCATGGGCCAGCCGATGACAGAGATGTCAAGTGCATGGGACGTAGAGTCCCTGCTAGCTTGTGAGTGGTACAGGTGATGTGGATGGAGAAGAGCTGTTCTTAGCCCAGAGCTCAGTGTAGATCTGCCTGGTTACCAAGACCCTGCCTGTCTGCCTGGCAGCACCCATCCTCAGGGTTGTCTTATGGCCCAAGATGGCTGCTAGAGCTCCAGAAATCACATCAAGCCCTCTGTTGGGGTGGGGGTGGAGAAAGAACACAAGGAAAAAGGCAAAGAAAGAACCATTCTGGGCCTCAGTTTCCCTCATCTGTACAATGGGAGAATGGGGCTTGTTCTAAGGAATGTTCTGTGAGATCCCAAGAGCCTCGTCCCAGTTCTGGTCAGGAGGTTACAGAAAGGGTACTGAGGCATATTTGATTTGGAAAATGCCACAAAACCCTGAAACTTTGAGATTTGTCTTGGTGTGTGTGAGTGTGTTTCCCTGTGGTCACTATCCCTGCGGCGGCGGCGTGCGTGCTCGGCTCCTTGTCAGTGTCCGTCTCTCTCCCCTCTCCCTGCAGATGTGAGGTGAGGATAAGCCAGCAGCCCTTTTCCGGGACACGGATGTACATGGCGTGTTACATTCCTGAACCTACTATGTACGGTGCTCATTGCCAGCGTGCGGTCTTTGTTCTCCTCCGTGAAAAACTGTCTCCATGCACACTCGGGAGAACAAAGAGACAGTATACATTTGTTTAATGTGACATCAAAGCAAGTATTGTAGCACTCGGTGAAACAATAAGAAGCTTCCTTGTCAAAAAAAAAGAGAGAGAGAGAGAGAGACAGAGCAAACAGAACCACAAAACATGACAAACAAAACTGACTCACAAAAATATCTAAACAGTTGTCGGAATGGAGGGACACCCCGTGGGATGGAAGCGACGTGCCTCGGCCGACCGGATTTCTGTCCAGGGTCACAGGTGCTTCTGCCAGGGACACAGCCTGCTTTCTGGAGGATTCCGGGCGGGGGCCGAGGGCCCTGCGGGGCACGCGGGAGCAGGGATGTCCCAGAACTGCCACGGGACTTAGAAACACATCTCCTTGCTGTAGTGTTTAAGTCTATACAGAAACCTTCCTGAGAGCCTTAAGTGGATTTTTTTTTTTTTTTTTTTTTTTTTTTTTTATACCATAAAGTGATTATTATTTTTTTCTTTTTTCTCTTTGGCTAGCCTTTTTTTTTTTTTTTTTTTTTTTTAATTATCTCTTGGATGACATTTACACCGATAACACCAGGCTGCTGTAAGTCAGGACAGTGGGACCGTATCTCCCCTCGCAGGATGCGAACAAATGAGATGTATTAAAATAAACATGGTATATCCACCTATGCATCACTTCCTAAATGTTTCTGGCTTTACGTGTTTGTCCCCTGCCCCCACTTTATCTTGCCTTTTAATTTAAGCCATTTCGAGAGAACTATGCGTGAGCCAATCGAGTCCGTCCCGGGCCTGCCGCTCCCAGTCCTCGCCTTGGCGAGGTGGCCCTGTGCCAGTGTTTGGACAGAATCTGAATTCTTTATTTTTGGTAAGATGTTACGCTTTACATGTATTCAACAGAAATGTGTGTGTGTGTTGTGTTTTTGTTTTTGTTTTGTAAAGGTGAAGTTTGTATTTTTATCTAATATTACCAGTTTTGTATACCTGAGAGCCTGCTATGTTTTTTTCTTTGAATCAAAAGGAAAAAGAAAAACCCACCAACAAAACCCATACACGTGAAAAGTGCTTTGTGGTCACATTTTTCTAGTTGCGTAACTGAGTCTAGACCCTGTCTCCTGGCCTGGGGCTGTTGCTTGGGGGTACCTTGGGCCACCCTTCACCAGAGCCTGCGCGGCAAGGCCTGCCCTTGGGATTCTGGGATCTGATGGTAATGGGCCAACAATGCCATCCTGCCTGGGTGTGCGGCCTCGTGGAGACGGAGGCCAGGCGCCCACCCGAGCAGCGAAGCAGACGATGGCCTTCATCCGGAAGTGAGTTGACTTCAGTGTCCGTGGGCTGAACCCGGGAAGGCCAGCCGCCCTGTGTCGCCCGTGACCGCTCTCCCTGCTTCAAACAGAGAGGCTGTGTGACTGTCACGATCCCTTTATTGCCTGTGGGGTCTCCGGAGCAAGAGCGAGCATCTCTGGAGTTGGTGTGTTCGTGGGAGAGTTTCTATAAAAGCATTCCTTCAGAAGCCCATCTTCACGGTGTGGTTCCTGGTCTGCAGTTCACGCGAAGGGCGGCAGGGGGTAGGGGCTCGAGGGGCGGGCACAGGTGGCGGCATCCCCCCAGCTTGTGCTCGGCTGTGTGCGGCCCATGGAGGCTCCGTCCCCGTGGAGGCTCCGTCCCCGTGCTGGGCATCTCGCAGCTGCGCTGCTCGGGACATGGTGCGGTGGAGACGTGTGTGATGGTAGGTGGACAGCATGTGATTTATGGATTTACGTTTCTCCAAGATGCTGACAGTACTGCCCCGTTTGTTTTCTTTTGCCCAAAGCTGCCTGATGAAGGACCTATCTGTCCGTTAGGGTGCTTCTGGGGAGGGGATGGTGCTGGAAGAGGGCTCAGAGCCCCGGGGCGTGTGCCTGTTGCCCTGGCCAGGGCCTGTGCTGCTGGGTGGAGCTGGGGCAGGCGGGTGGCCTCCACGCCCAGCCAGGAAGGGGCTGCTGCCCGCCCAGTGGAGGCTGCGGTCTGTCTGTGGTGGGATTGTTTCAGGATTGCAGGCCTGCGCGGCCCACAGGCTTTGTTGCGGCTTTGCCCTGCATTCCTGGCATTTCTGCTCCTGCCTGGGCCCCTCCCGGCCTGTCACCCTGGGCTGCACCTGGGTGCGCCCAAGTAGTCAGTGTCTGCTTAGGGCTGGTCCCTCGCACTCTTGCAAGCCCTGTGTCCTTGAGCCACGGGCCTCTGTCTATACCTCCTGGGTATGGTAGCCGGGCACACAATAAGGATTCTGTATTAGGCGCACAGGAACCCAGCACGGGCCTCAGGGTCTCTGGACTCCCTGTACAGAAGCACGTCCCCCCCCCCCCTCAGCATACCCTCCTTTCTGTGGGTCTGGCCCTGCAGAGGGGCAAAGCCCTGGGCTGATGGGTCTCTCATGGGTGCACCTGCCTGGAGACCCGTAGCCACTGGTCACACCTGTCCTTGCCCTGTGTTGGGGGTCCTGCCAGGTGCCAGGTGGACTAGGTGCCTCCCCACCTCCCTCGGAGCAGCTCCCGCTCCACACTGACTTGGTGTCCTGGTTTGTGTAGTGGGTGCACCTGGCTGGGTGGCTGTCCCTGGTGTGTCCCCGTGCCGCCCGCCAACCTGGGCTAGTCTCAGCCGCTGCTGGGGAGAGGCCTCTCGTATGCGCCTCCCACATTCCGGGGGGTGGGAACGAAGGACAGGGCACTGTGCCCTTGGCATGCCCTTGACCCTCCCCAGGCGGGGTGGGGGGGCCTGAGCAGAGAAGCAGTGGAAGAATGGTGGGCAGCGTTTTGCCAGGGACCAGCAGGCCAGGCCGGACGCTCCACACTGCTGGGGCCTTGGCTGGCCCTGTGGGTGTCAGGCGCCTGGGGCCCAACAGCGGCCTTTCCATGCCCTGTGCCAGCACGCATCTGTCCCTGGAGCCACCACTGTGGGGCCCAGTCCAGAATGGCTGCCACCCAGGCCCCCAGGGAGAGCAGCAGAGGAGGAAGAAGCCCTTGGGTGGGGGGCACCCAGGGCCCTGAGCTCTGGGCTGTCCCCAGAGCAGGTGCTCCCCAGGCATGTGCTGCTGAGCTGGGGTCCTGGGATGGAAGCGTGGCTGGCATGGTGCCCTGCGGGCTCCGGACTCACAGTGCGGGGACTGGACTGCTCTCTCCATTACTACCATGTTCCCCGCAGGACGGTCCTTCAGCCTCACTGACTGCGTTCCCTGTGTTCTACTCCCATCCCCGACTCCCTTGTCCTGTGAGCCCCTTCCCCCATTCTGCCCACCCTCCACCCCCGGCAGTGCTGAGTTCTAGCTCCTCTTCTCCTTGTCACTGCTGCTGACACCGTGTCCCACAGAACACAGGCCGGCCCACTTTTTATCCCAGGTGCTCTCCTGTCCTGCTTCTCCTGGAATGGAGCCAAGATGCCTGGTCCTGGGGCCAGGCCTCTGGTGGGTGTCAGGGTTGTGGGGACAGTTGTATCGGTGCCATTTGTGCCAGGGCCTGTGACCTCGTGCAGATCAGAACAGAGGTTCCGAGGCTCAGACATCCCCCAAGGCAGCAGCTGGAAGTGGGACTTGAGTCTGGTCCCCTCCGTGCTTGTGTCCACTTGGGCTCCTGGCTGCAGCTCCCCCGGGAAGCCTGCTGTTGTCCCCATCTAGCCCCTGCCAGCTGCATCCCAGGTGCTCCCAAATGGCCCCGTCCCGGGGCTCCAGGTACCAGGGCCTGGCCGGGCTGTAGCAGGCACCCCAGACCCTGCCTGCAAGCCCTCTGGGGATGGAGGCAGCAAGGGGACGTATGTGGGTCCGTCCGTCCTGCCTGTCATGCGGCCCACTCTGCGGAGGCCCAGACTGAGACTCAGCGTTGCCCCGTGTGGCTGGGACGGGTCTGTGTTAGCTGAACGTTGCATTACAAATTCAGTTCGCCTCGGTGCCTTGGTGCTGTGATAGTTCATTTTTGGCAGTGATATAAAGTGACTTTTCTGCTTCAGTTAACAATTTAGGTGTAACAGGGGTCAGGCAGTGCCGGGTGGCTGAGTGGCTGGCAGCCTTAGCCAGGCTTTGGGGACAGTCATACTCCCTGGTGACGGTAGGCGGCTGGCCGTGTGGCCACAGAGCTGGGGGCCATGAAGTTGTGCCCTGGTCATACCTTTAACCCAGGTTCCCCACGTCAGAGCCAGAGAAAGGCTGCTGGGCAGGAGGAGATCCTGGGATGAGGCAGGAGCCCTGAGCACCGCCAGTGCCCACCGCTGGGCTCCAGCCAATGGGACCCAAGGGGCCTTGCCGAGTGCCTCTTGGAGCAGCTGCCCACCGCAGTTGTGCATGTCAGTGCCCTTGTAAGTGCTGAGTTCAGCAGCGGCCCTCCTGGCACCAGAGGAGGCGGGTACTGTCAGGCCGCCTCTGCCGGGGGGGACGTGGGTGGATGGGACACACCTGCGTGGGCCTGAGTGGGTGGGCCAGGAGGAGCTAGTCTTTCTGGGGCCCATGAACTGAAGCAGATCAAATGCCCCAAGTCCATCCTGGCCAAGCAGGGCTCTTTATAAAGAGGTCCGTCATGGACCCTTTGTGTCCACTTGTTGGGGGCAGCCAAGGGTGTGGGGTGAGAATGTGGCTCTGTTGGGCTCCTCCATGCTCTGAACCACCCGGTAGTGTGATCTTGGGTATCTCCTATGACCTTGGACGACCTTGCCATGTGACTGGGTGTTCTCACCGTGTGACCTGGGTGGGTCCCTTCCTGCTCTCGGAAGCTGTTTCTGGAGAGCTGTGCTGGTGTGTGCAAAGGGCTTGACCCCGAGCAGATTGTGGTGGGGTCCCAGGGTCCTTGCCACACAGAGGAGGGGTAAGGGAGGAGCTGCCCTCCAGGCTGGGGGAGCGTGAGTGGGAGGGCGCACAGACCCCAGAACTCTCAGACCTACACGTCCACCCACCCAGGCAGCTTCTCTGACAGGGACAGCAGTGTCCAAACACCCGCACCTGTCCCTCTTCCTTGCCAGGCTGCGAGCCAGGGCGTGTGGTGGAGGTGCAGGAGGGCCCCGTGTGAGGGCTGGGAAGCTTTTCCGTTCTCCCCTCCCAGTCCAGGCCACCTGGGCCATTCACACCTTCAGCTGAAGTGACTTCCCAGGTCCCAGTGTGTCTCCTCCCCAGCTGGGGAACCTCAGGCAGGGCTGGGGGTCCGGTCTTTTCTGGTTCCTCAGCAGCCCATGAAGGGAGGGGATGGGCCCCTGTGTTCCATCTCCCGTTGTCCTGACTGCACCAAAGGAGGAGGCCCTAGTGTCACTCCGGGGTGGTGGCTGGCACCCAGCCTGGCCTCGGAGGAGATAGCAGAGGACAGGAGCCGGCCTGTCACCCCAAGCTGCCCAGCCCCCAGGCGGCCGCAGCCGGACTCCACCCCCACGCCCTGCAGGGCACCGGGACGCAAAGCGTGTGGTTTCTGCAGAATAAAACGGTG